GCTAGATCGGTTGCCAGTAAAGCTATGAATCATGCTCATGGCTCGGGAATATCAATGAAGCCAACGCAGTCGTTGGCAGTTCTATTTTGCTGCCATCGAGTATAGCAGTTTCGTGATAAGGTACTTCCTGGAGTCCATCGACCATCTTTACATCGCTGCTGTTCATAGCCATTCTCCAGAGCATGAGCAACAAAATCAGAATGATCAACATTACAGTACTTGATGGCTCTTCTATGCTCCGTTAGTCTGATTTTTAACACTCGACAGGTCTTTCCGATATATCTCCGGTCACAGCTATTGCATGAGTCAGGTAGGCCACGTTTTTACTCCCAAAACTGGGGTGAGGATCAAGCTCTTTATATGGTTGGTTTCCTAAAGTTATCCTCCAGCAGATAAATACATTGATACCGTAGGTTTTCAAACAACGTGTAATTTCTTCCGATATGCCTGATATATATGATATCGAAATGACGGAATTACACTCAAAATAAGGGCGGCCTCAAACTTAGGGCGTTTAAATGCAGAACAAATTAAATATTTGATATATCCGTTTTTAAAGAAAGTACATGAGAAGTGCTTGATTTTACCCCTGCATAGTCGGTCATCACTGCAATAGCTTAAATCCATATGATGCCTGCATCTCATGATATTGATGAAGGCAGATTTGGGACTGTAGGATGAAGTGTTAAGATAACGGTTGAAATATTGTAGTTTTCTATATACTGTGAAGGAGATTGTGCCAGTGGCGTCTGGTTTAATGAGAATGTCAGAAAATGCCATCTGACTATTTTGTTCGTGCTGTAAAGTGAATTTTATAATACAATTAGGATCTTGGATATTTAAATATTCATGCAGTTGGAGAAAATGATTAGGATTATTATGTAAAATGAAAGAGTCATCTATATATCTTAAGTATAAAACAGAGAAAGGGCAGTGGACTCCAGATGATTCCTGTAGATTTCGGCTAAGACTACACTGGCAAGAAAACCTGTCGTGATATCGCACCGCTGTTTGTGCTTTACTTGTCAAATTTAAAATAGACATAGCAGGTTATTAAATTAATTAAATAATGTCTCTTTGGCTCAGGTTACTTAGTGCAAGATCTGCATTCTTCTACATAGCTCTGCTCTTGGTCACAACATCTAAAACCATCTACGGTAAGCATTCGATGATGATGTTGTCGTACAGCGCCATGACGTCTAAAGATGCCATTTGTAATGATCCAGGATTATCGTTCTTTTTTCTCTAATGTTTCTTAAAGGTCATCGCTGTTTCGCAGTCGCTACTGAAAGCCTGACACGACAAACCTGAGAATTTTCTCCAGTTACTTACTCAGATTGTAAGTGAGACTGCCAGTCACTGGGACGATGAGCCAAAGAGACTCACTAGGCTTATGAAGGTTCATCGGGCCGTATGGTTTCGGCAGGCTGCAGGTGTCAACGGTCAGGGTCAAACTGTTTGCAGTGTTCTCTTTGAGCGCGCCTTCTAAGGCCATCGGATGTAGAGCATTCTTAAGCAGATTCCTGATCAATGGCAAAGGGTTGGCTTTTTTTGGTTCCTTTTCGTAGATGATAAATATTCCTTCATTTTTAGTAGGTAGTCCTCTTTTTACATAACTGATTTTGATTCTTTATCGGCTGATAGTAAAATTAGGTTTCTTTCCTTGATCTTTTTTTCTAACGCTTCGCAATCCTTCCAGAGAGTAAATGGATAGATTTTATAGACAGTTTTCTAATTGCTTCATCTTCATCTTCATCTTCCATCGCCGCTTCTCCTTTCGGGTCGCGGAGGCAGACGCGTCAGACAGTGCTTCCAACGTTCCCGATCCTGTGCCAGAGTCTGAGGTTTTATGTTTAGTTTCGCTTCTCGGCCTTATGGCTAAGATCAAAGTGTAGTTTTCTAATTGCTTAGAGTGTAATCTGTTCTTGGGACTTAAAGCGCAGACACTGCAGTAGGAAAGAAGGAAGAAAAAAGTTTCTATCTGTTGCGAGGTCTATCTTGCTTACACTTAAATTATGGCACCGGGCCTTCTTTTCATGAAGTTAATAGTTGCGCGCTGATCTTTATTTCCATGCCTTCCCGTTTTAGTGCCTTACTATATCGGCAGATTCGACAGCAACTCTGTGGAAGCATAGTGTATAGTTTCCCGTTAACTTCCCACGGGGTTGTACTCATATGCGAAGTTGGAAGGACGAAAGGCCACTGATCTGTTCCGGTTCTAATCCCGGACGTTAGGTTCTGAGTCATATGCTGCAGATAAGGTGACATTTAAAATTTTTAAGTAGCTCTGAAGATGTTTGATTTTTTTGTAGAAAGTCCTTGGTTAAGATTTCTTGATTACCTATATAGTTTTGTACGTTTGCAAGGCTTGGAACAGCACTGAAAAGGTGATTTACGCAATTTCAGTAGAGAACCGGTGAGCTACATGCTAAGGAGGTCTTGTTAAGATTGAAGAGACCAAAGACTAGATCATTTTTTCATTTGCTTAGCGTAATATTGTGTACTGGCGATTGATCCCTTGTCTGTTGCAGCGTAAGAAAGTCGATAGTAGGATAATATATAATTATTCTTCGGTTAGAAGCCTGGAATAAAATACTTTAATAGGTGAAACTTTCGGAACCCAGGATGGTGTTTTTTCTTCAGCAGATTTCTTTTTTGTGCCTTACGTTGATCTGCTAACCTAAGAAAAAAAGTAGTGCGGTTAAGCAAGCACAGTAATGCTTTTAGCGGTTTGGTTTATCACATTGCTAATACGCCATTCAGTTAGTTTCAAGAACTGTCCAGAATTTAAAAATGTTGTACCTAGTTAGAGTTTCAGCGTGACAGCACTTTTTCGCATTTTATAAATTAAATTGCATTTGCCCGCGCAAGGAATTGACCACATTGCGGTTCTTGTGAGGCTTTTGGCCGTATGATCTGATGGTAGTACTTTGCGCTACAATTCGCACTGAACTGATGAACATTTGGCTAATAATTAGCACAGCGTGTGAAAGTTAAATTAAAACAAATTTAATTTGAGAATATGTTCAATATTGAGAGCTTTTGTTTTGAATACTATCGAAACGTGTATCCACTAAATCATGCATTTGTTTTAGATAATTTTTTTTGATATTTGATATGGAATGAGAAAAGCTGTAAAATTTAAAATAGTGTACCTAGAGGTCCTGACTTAATTAGATTCAACTTACGGTAAATTATTCTAAAAGGCTATAGGAAAAATTTCGAATCGTAGAAGTCGTTCTTAACATATCTACGTTACTCGCAAGCCACCAAACCGCGGTCTTGCGCAAGGCAAACGGTCTCCTTCCTCAGGTTAGCCTTGTTTACTGTTTGACACTGACGTGTTGTGTATTTGTGTTCATAATCATTAATAATTTTTAGTGTTTGCTTGCTCTGTGGTAGGGCACAAGCATGACTGGAAAAGAAACATTAGCGGAAAAAGGAAACTGATTTGTAAGCGCAGTAGCATTGGTCCAGAGATAAAAATTATT